TATGTATGTATGTATGTATATATATTTTCATATTAGGCATTTTAATGCCTCCATAAACAATTTAAGCATTCGAGACTGAGGACTATGTACAACAACTTTAAAACAATGGCACTAGCAATACTGTGGTGAGACAACGTACATGTTTTTTTGACAGTTTATTCGTAGAGGAATTTTGCTCTTCTCTCCTTCTGGGTGGCAAACCTCTCAATGACCTTATTATTAAAGTGAGGAATGTCCCTGACAAATTTCTTCTCCATGGAGAGCATAGCCAGAGCATTGAGGCGATCCTGTGACATGGTGTTTCTCAGGAAGGTCTTGATCCTCTTCAAAGTAGAGAAGCACCTCTCAGATTCAGCTGTTGTCATGGGTGTGGTGATGAGGATCCTGAGAAGACTGACAGTCTCTGAAAGTGCTCTGAAGGTTGTTCTCCATGAAAAACGTTTACAGCCTTCAATCAATCAATCAATCAATCAATCAATCAATTATGTATACAGCCCAATATCACAAATGTTACATTTGTCTCAGTGGACTTCACAGTTTGTACAGAATATCAGTATGACAATACGACACCCTCTGTCCTTAGACCCTCACATCGTACAAGGAAAGACTTCCAGAGAAACCCCACAGTTTAAAGGAACATGGGAGAAACCTCAGGGAGAGCAACAGAGGAGGGATCCCTCTCCCAGGACGGACAGACGTGCAATAGATGCCGTGTGTAAATCAAAAACATAATACATTTACAGCATAGCTAGACCAAATATTTGGAAATGCATGTGTCTATAAAAAGAAGATGAATCCACGAGGATGTCAACAATCCTGTGGGAGCCCTCAGGGAAGTAGTATGATGAGAGTCAGGCAGGACCACAGTGACAGGTTCAGCCATGACTTGAAATCCAGGACTCAGATCAGGACTCAGGATCAGCCACAACTCAGGATCCCAGCGTAGATAGACACCAAAAAGAAATGTGGGGGAAGCTGGGTTATTGGGAACATGAGAGTACACAGGTACAGACAGACAGAAGGAAGAAGTAAGGTGTCCCCCGACAGTCTAAGCCTATAGCAGCAAAACTAGGGGCTGAATCTAATCAGCCCTAACTATAAGCTTTATCAAAAAGGAAGGTCTTAAGCGCACTCTTAAAAACGGATAGGCTGTCTGCCGCCCGAACACAAACTGGAAGCTGATTCCACAAAAGTGGAGCTTGATAAGAAAAGGCTCTGGCTCCCATTGTACTTTTAAAAACTCTAGGAACAACCAACAACCCTGCATTCTTGGAACACAATGCCCTAGTAGGACAGTACTTGGAACTCGCTGTTATCGTAGATGAGGGACAGTTCCGTTTTGAGCTTGGCCTTGTTCAACATGGGGTATTCCTGCACTGTCGTTCCAAGTGCTCCATCAGGGAACTTCACACTGTGTTGTTGGAACAACTCTCCATGCTGATGAGGTGCTTGGTGAAGGAGCACCGCTCCTTGGCGTGCATCAGGATGGTATCACATACCTGTAAAATATATATCATTATCTAAAATTGCAATAAAGCTGTGAAAGTGATGCTGAACACATAACTATTTCCAAGTCAAATATATGACTACTAAGGTTTTAACACCATTACTCCTAATTGTACTTCACAGCATGTTTCCTTCTCCTGATCTTTAACTCTCTTTTGGTTTCCACAACAAAACAAGGTTTACATTGGCTTTCAATAAATAAACCACATATTTTCTGTTGCATGTGAGGATGCCTTATCCTTTTTGTGACTGCTCTGACATAAACCTGGAATCTACAAAAATAGTAAACAAAAATATGAATGCCAATATATAAATTGCAGACTGCCTGCTGCATCATTCGACCATTGATGTAATATGCCATCCTGTGTGCAGTTTAGGTTTTATTTTGGCTACATACCACAAGCACTGAAAAATATTCTAGGGCAAACACTGCCAGATCACAATTTACGTCTGTAGCCAGCCTCTGTTCTCCTGCTCCCAGCGTCCTCCTCTCTCGATGGGCTCCTGCGGCTGGTCAGATGCACTGTCCGCACTCAGAGAGGAAATGGAGGCCCTGGTCCAAAACATATCAAGTTTAGGTTGCTGACTTGCCATCAAACTCATTAATGTGCAATTATATTCATTAGCCGCGTTCACACCGGAGTACTTTTCACCGTACTTTTCGCGTTTAGTTCCGTTAGTACCCCTTACGTCGCGTTCACACCAAAAAGAGCACTTCATCTCGGGAACTTTTACCCCCATTTTCAGTGCCCGATGAGAGATCGTACTTTCCTGGGGAAAAAAGTGCCCCAGTGCTGATTGGCTGGGCGAATTGCAAACCACGCCCCGTACAACTGTGAAAATGTTGTGTAGAGCCGCCATTGTTTTTCAATGGCTGGCCCATCAAGCTGGGTCGCCGGTAAGGCAGTCCATTCGTCCCTGTACTCATCATTACTTTCACAAAGGTTATGTAATATGCAACATGCTGCCACCTGGATTTTGATCTTGTCCATCTTGCAGTCGTTTCTTTTCATCAAGCACCGCCACCTGCCCTTCAGTCTGCCAAAAGCGTTCTCCACCACCACTCGTGCTCGGCTTGTTTTGTTATTGTACGCAAGTTGCTCAGGCTGCATTAACTCAGTTACAAAGCTGTATAACATGAGCACAAACAGCACAACTTCAGTCGACTCCATCTCCATCATGTCTGAGGTCGGAAGGTAAACAACAGACGCCTAATGTACAGCGAGTGGGTGGGCGTCGCAGTATACGCGGGAAGTTTTTCTTCTTCTCTTGTTTTGTAGCGGATTGCAAACAACTTTAAGGTGCATACCGCCACCTACTGTACTCGCCGTGAAGTGGTTTGTGGCCTGCCAGTAAAGCCAAAGCAGAAGAAGAAGAAGTGACGTCAGCGGCTCATTTGCGTAATCTTCCCTCAGGGAAAAGTACTCCGGTGTGAACGCGATCTGTACTAAGTGCCCTGGGGTAAAAAGCGCCGGGGCTCTGAGTGCCGGAACTAAGTACAGGAAAGTACTTGGTGTGAACGCGGCTATTGTGTGCGCAATATACTCATTGTTGTTTACAGTACATGTATATCATTAACTTTAAACTATTTATTTTTTACTTTTGTCAGTTATGAATCAATAACAACTAGGCCTCCTCCAGAAATGGACCTGGTGGACCCTGAATAAGCCTGTTATTACCAACTCTGTTTATTAACTACTTTACCTGCATTATTATCCAAATCTGAGTGTCTTCTCTTTCCTTTTTAAATACTAAATCAAATATAATTGTGATGTGATACATGATATTCATTCACTTTGATGACATGGCACATTTAGACTGTTGGAAGTGAGGAACTGATTTTTTCTAAAAGCTTTGTCTGCCAAAATATAGTTATTTACCTGCTCGTTTGCATGCTGTCTGTGAACTTCTCGACTAATGAAGACGGGGTCAATGTCCACGTGTGGCATGATCTGGTGGAACAATGCCAGGACAGAACAGAAAGCCTCGTCTTCAAGCATCCTCACAAAGCCACCAGCCTCTCTGACAGTTACAGGATCAAAGTTCACAGAGTCCTCCCTGATAGTCTGTAAACACTTTAGGAGGTCATCCTTTTGCTCATACTGGGGGTGTTTCTCAATCGTGAGTAAAGCTGCTTCAGAGCCACTATTTCAAGCATACTACGTCATCGAGTGCCGCCGAAGTACTGTTCCAATCTCTAGCATACTTGGAAATCTACCGAGCCCGGCGTACTCCGTTTGGAGAAATATCGAGGCTGCACATGAGTAGACTCTGCGGTCTTAAAATCCCCACAATGCTTTGCGCACGGACCAATTTCCCCAAATTTGTGGCGGAAGATGTAAGAGGCGGGGCCTCTCATATGACGCACACTTGCTAGCGTGTTCCACTCTTCGTTTTCCGAATGCCAGGAAGTATTCTTGACTCGCTTCTGAAGCAAGATGCTCGGCAGACATGTGCTACCAAGCAAGCGTACTCGCGATTGAGAAACACCCACAGTGTTTACTGCGCGACTGTGGAAGTTCCACCGTGTTGTAGAAGCTCTGGGGAGTCTTTGCGCCACCACTTGGTCGAGCACTGCGGTTCGCTTGGGTGACCTGGAGAAGAAGGCAGAAAATCCACCAATGTCTGGAAAGAAGTGCAGATTCTGGGGATGTGTGATGTTGCCTGCTGCATTATGAGGTTCAGCTGATGCGCATAGCAGTGCACGTAGTGTGCATTCCCGTAGACATCCATTACCGTGCTCTGGTGTTCTCATGCTTCCTCACTTTCTCAGACAGGTGCTTCATATCCCTCACTCCAGTTGTTGTCCATGCTGCATCTGTCCCCGTTGTTTTAAAAACCAAGCAAGGAAGGCAGAATAAGGCATTAGCATGACTGCATCCAGCCAGGCTTCTGGTGTACCAGCTACGAGAGAAGCCTCGCACATACGGCTTCCATTTGCCACTTGCCTGCTGTTTGATAGCAATATCAGGTTGATCTGCTCTTTCACCGGAAGCTTGTCCGCCAAACGTCTTCTCTCAAACATAACAGTCATACAAAACACATTTTTATTTTGTTTTGCTGCGATTCTTCTTTCTGTCTCTTTTCATGCACCACATATACTAAAGCAAATTCCTCGTAAATGTAAACACACCTTGTAAATATGACCGATTCTGAATCTGATAAATATGTGTTTTCTGTTTCCTGCAGACGTCCAGCAGCTGGTGGTGGTTAAAGAAGAGGTTCCCCCTGAGCAGCAGGAGTGGAGGTCCAGTCTGGACCAGGAGGACCCAGAGCCCCCCCCACACATTAAAGAGGAACAGGAGGAACACTGGAGCAGTCAGGAGGGAGAGCAGCTTCAAGGGCTGGAGGAGGCTGATATCACCAAGTCCACATTCACTCCTGTCCCTGTGAAGAGTGAAGATGATGAAGAGGAACCTCAGTCCTCTCAGCTTCATCAAAGACAAACTGAACACCTGGAAACAGAAGCTGATGGAGAGGACTGTGGAGGACCAGAACCAGCCAGGAACTCAGATCCAGAGAGACATTTACAACCTGAGACTGAGGACAACCCTGGAGACTCTTCTGAAGACAGTGCTGATTGGAAGGAGACCAGAGAACCAGGATCAAACTCTCAAGTAAATAAAGAAGACCCTGTCAGTGATTCAAGACGTAGTGCAGGAGAGAAACGATTCAGCTGCTCAGTCTGTGAGAAAACATTTGCACGGAAAGGATCTTTACATCGACACATGAGAAACCACACAGGAGAGAAACCATTCAGCTGCTCAGTCTGTGAGAAATCTTTTGCAGTGAAAGGATCTTTACATCGACACATGAGAATACACACAGGAAAGAAACCATTCAGCTGCTCAGTCTGTGAGAAATCTTTTGCACAGAAAGGATCTTTACATCGACACATGAGAATACACACAGGAAAGAAATCATTCAGCTGCTCAGTCTGTGAGAAATCTTTTAAACAAATAGGACAATTAAATGAACACACGAAAATCCATACAGGAGAGAAACCACTCAGCTGCTCAGTCTGTGAGAGATATTTTGCAGGGAGAGGAAATTTAAATCGGCACATGGCAATACACACAGGAGAGAAACCGTTCAGCTGCTCAGTCTGTGAGAAAACATTCCCACGGAAAGAATCTTTACATCGACACATGAGAAACCACACAGGAGAGAAACCATTCGGCTGCTCAGTCTGTAATAAATCTTTTACACATAGGGGAAGTTTAAAGTGCCACATGAGAATACACACAGGAGAGAAACCATTCAGCTGCTCAGTCTGTAAGAAATATTTTACACAAAAGAGACAGTTAAGGACACACAGAAGAATCCACACAGGAGAGAAACCATACAGATGTAGTGTCTGTGACAAAAGATTCACCTGGAGTTGTCAGGTCAAAATCCATAAGTGTGTTGGTCGTCAGTCCTCACAGCTTCATCAAACTCAGACTGAGGAGAACAGAGAGGCAGAGCCTCCAGCCAGCAGCTCAGCTGAACACCTGGAAACAGAAGCTTATGGAGAGGACTCTGGGGGACCAGAACCAGCCTGGAACTCAGATCCAGAGAGACATTTACAACCAGAGACTGAGGACAACCCTGGAGACTCTTCTGAACCTGACATTTTCCAAGTCAAATCTTATTTGGCAGACTGGAAGCCAGTGTAATGATCTCAGAACCGGACTGATGTGATCCACTTTTCTAGTGTCAGTGAGAACTCGAGCAGCAGCGTTCTGAATCAGCTGCAGCTTTCTGATAGATTTTTTAGTGAGCTCTGTGAAGACACTATTGCAGTAGTCGAGTCTACTGAAAATAAAAGCATGGACAAGTTTTTCTAAATCCTGTTGCGACATTAGTCTTTTAATCCTTGATATATTCTTCAGCTGGTAGTATGCAGACCTAATAGCTGTTGTAATGTGACTGTTAAAATGCAGGTCCATACACTACACCCAGATTTCTTGCTTTGTGAGTTACTTTGTAGTCTGCCGACTGAAGCTCTGTGATTACTTTTAATCGGTCCTTCTTTGCTTCAAAAACAATGATCTCAGTTTTTTGTTTGTTCAATTGGAGAAAGTTCTGAGTCATCCAGTCAGTGATGTGCTCAATGCACTTGCTCAGTGTTCTAATCGGAGAGTAGTCTCCCGGTGTAATTTTAAAATAAATCTGGGTGTCGTCTGCATAGATGTGATAGCTTAGATCGCTCTTTTTAATAATTTCAGCCAGAGGTAGCATATACATATTAAAAAGCAAAGGTCCTAAGATGGAGCCTTGAGGAACCCCGCATGACATATTCATCACGGTTGATTTGTAATTGCCTATTGAGACAACGTTTGTTCTGTCCTTTAAGTAGGAACTAAACCAGTTTAGAGCTGTTGCTGAAACTCCCACCCAGTTTTCTAGACGGTCTAGCAATATGTTGTGGTCAACAATATCAAAGGCAGCGCTGAGATCTAATAATACTAACACTGATATTATGCCACTGTCTGTGTTTAAATTAATGTCATTTAAGACCTGAACAAGTGAAGTCTCAGTGCTGTGGTTAGGCGAAAGCCAGACTGAAACACATCAAAACCGTTAGTTAGAAACATGAAATTACTCAACTGTTGAAAAACAGCTTTTTCAATCAATTTGCTTAAAAAGGGAAGGTTTGATATTGGCCTGTAGTTATTCATTATGGTTGCGTCTAGGTTATGCTTTTTTAGGAGCGGTTTAATTATTGCAGTTTTCAGGGCCTGTGGAAATACACCTGATTGAAGAGACTTGTTTACTATAGGCGCGTTCACACCAAGTACTTTTCCTACAATAGTTCATGAGAACTTTAGTTCATGAGAACTCTTTTAGTTCTGATGAACTAAAGCAGATCGCGTTCACAGCAAAATGAGTTCCTGGGGGTGGATTAGGCAAATGAACCGCTGACGTCACTTCTTCTTCTTCTGCTTTGGGTTTACTGGCAGGCCGCAAACAACTTCACGGCGAGTACAGTAGGTGGCGGTATGCACCTTAAAGTTGCAATCCGCCAAAAAACCGAGAGAAGAAGAAGAAGAAAAACTTCCCGCGTATACTGCCACGCCCACCTGCTGTATATATAGGCGTCTGTTTACCTTCCGACCTCAGACATGAGCTTCGTCTGAGTCATTTAAGCAAACACAAATACAGATCGTCGACCAGTCAAATGCAATAGCAATGCTGATTCGGAGGCGAAGGCGGTTAAGAAGGATTGACAAAAGGATTGGACGATGACATGCACGCGCTATGGATTGCGTACCCTGTGTGAAATGAATAAACTGTGCCAGGTGTGTCGTATGCACAATAAATAGGCTCAGCAGTTAACACACTTTTATTATATATCCTCCTGAGAGCAACTGCATCCGTCTGCCATGAACCCTACAGAAACCTACGTGCATTGTAATACACGTTTCGGCTGCATTCAATATTACATATCTGCCGTAGTTAACTCTATTTATAGAGCCCTGATGACTAGACTTCTAGACAAACAGGAACTGCCGCCAAAACTGAAAACTTGACGCAATTAAACAACATCTTACATTTCTTTTCACACAATACGTCTCCTTGCAGTATCAACACTAATTCGGCTGACTTTTATATTTGATCCAATTGGTAGATAGGCTGTATTTACACCATAACGGTGCACAGCTGATAGAAAGGGACACCTACTTGTTAAAGCACGTTATTGCATTTTATAATTTTATTATTATTATTATTGTTTTCAGTTTTGGCGGCAGTTTCTGTTTGTCTAGAAGTGTTCTCATCAGGGCTCTATAAATAGAGTTAACTACGGCAGATATGTAATATTTAATGGGGATGGACGGTCACATTGCCTTTAACAGCCTCCGACACAAACGAATGCCGTGCTTCCATGAGCGTCAAATCCCGCCGCAGATGGGAATACATTGCAACCAGTTGAAAGCTATTTGCGTCTGTTTATGAAGCTGAAGGAGCCTAGGAGCGTCCCAACTGCACGCCTCGGGACCCTGACCAAGCGTCGCTCCTGGACGTTTATGGAGTGAGAGTGTGTTGCCCTATGAGCCCACTGTGCTCTGATTGGTCAGCTTGCCCACTCTGTTCTGATGAGTTTTCGTCGTAATTCTGAGAAACAAAGTCAGAATGTTGAGATTTTCTTAAAAATTCAGCATTTTAGAAAAAGTCAACATTTTGGGAAAAAGTCAGAATTTGGAGAATTATTATTGTAGAGATTCTATGTATTGTCGAGAGGAAGGGGAGGCACACGAGACCCAACAATGCAGACGAGCTGAAGGCCGCTAGTGAAACAACCTGGGCTTCATCACACCTCAGCAGTGCCACAGACTGATAGTCTCCATGCCACGCCGCATTGATGCAGTTATTCATGCTAAAGGAGGTCCAACCAAGTACTGACAGCAGGAACATTAACATACTTTTCAGAAGGACAGCATTTCTATATTAAAAAATCTCTTTTGTATTGGTCTAATGTATTATTAAAATGTTCTGGGATGCTGAATTTTGGCTTTCATTTAATCATCAAGATTAAAACAAATAAACGCTGGAAATAATTCACTTTGTGTGTGATGAATCTATGTGATGTATACGTTTCAACTTTATAAATTGAATTGCTGATATTAACTCACTTTTCCATGATATTCAATTTATTGAGATGCACCTGTATGAGTCCAAGTACAGGTTTAGCAAGGCGGTGAGAGATGCTAAACGACTACTCTGAGAAACTCCAACACCAGTTCTCAGCTAACGACTCTGCAGACAGGTCACAAACTGTAAGGCTAAGGCCTCACACTCCGTGAACGGCCGACGCCTTGCTAAGCGGCAGTGAAACTACGTTTTAGACCGGCGACAGTACTAACTCACCTGTTGTCCTGAAACTCTCCAGGGCATCTGGAAAAAATGTGCAATTGACACACTATTAAAACAATAGGCACGCATTTAAAATAAGTAATAGATAAAGGCTGCAAAGTTAAAGAAGGTGCTCTCTGTGTTGCATGGCTATATATAATTGGGAAAAGAGTGCCACATCATCCCTCAACATTGAGATCTGCCCTGCCTGCTTGGTCTTGGTCCTGGGCATCTAAAGAGAGGCAGTGAGTTATTTTTGATGGGCTCATGAATGGAGTGTGTGCAGTCCCTGATCACTGTCTTATGGTACTTGTTGTACTGATCTCTGCCCACTGATTCCACTTTACGGACTGTGTTAACAACAGACTCGTCAATGATATTCTGTGTGTCCAGCATTAGAAGATCGGGGGTATCATCTAGGAACGGATTGCTCATCCCACTGATAGTGTGCACCTGAGCTAGTGCTTGCTCTTTGAATGTCTTCTGTGTAGACGTTCCTTCTTCATCACTTTTAACTTTTATCCATGTATTTTTTCTTTTAATGTTTATTTTATTATCTTTTCTTTTTAATGACTGATTTTAAATGCCATTTTTAAAATGTCTTCCATTTTTATAAAGCACTTTGAATTACCTTGTGTTGAAAGGTGCTATATAAATAAACTTGCCTTGCCTTGCCTTGCCTTGCCTTCATGGTGGTGTTGTTTAATGCCTTTTTCTAAAATATACTCCTGCTCAAACTCTTTTAGGAATCGTGCTTGTTCAGGCCCTGCGATCATCCACTTTTTGAAGGCTGAGGGGTTCTTGGTGAGTCCCACAGCACCCCCAGAAACCTTGACCAGATCATTATACTGCTCATGAGCCTGGTCTATCGGTATGCTTCAGAATCTGTTTGTGGTTTTGGGAACAACCCAATGACCATGTTCTTCAAATTCCTTGTGAATGGACATGGATGTGGACAGGAATCCATCGGGCATAGTTCTAGTGATCAAGGGCAAAGAACCATGGGACGAGGGCCTTCAGTGACTCCACATAGAGGGGGAAATCTTGTTCTCTGTGGGCCCGCACAAATATCA